TGGATAAATATATAGAAACACAATTTTCCAAGACTGAACTACAAAGAAATAGAAAATCTGAGTAGAGCAATTATGAAAATCGAATCAGTAATCAAAAACCTCCAAACAAACAAAAGGCTAGGGCCAGATGGCTTCACTAGTGAATTCTACCAAACATTTAAAGATTTAATATCCATCTTTCTCAAACTCTTCCAAAAAATTGAAGAGGAAGGCATGCTTTCAAACTCATTTTACATGGCCAGCATTACCCAGATACCCAAACCAAAGACACCACAAGAAAAGAAAATTGTAAGACAATATCCCTGATGACCACAGATGTAAAAATCCTCAACAAAATATTAGCAAACCAAATTCAACAGTACATTAAAATGATCATACACTACAATCAAGTGGGATTCATTGCAGGGATGCAAGGATGGTTCAACAATCACAAATTAATGAACATGATACACCACATTAACAAAAGGAGTGATAAAAATTATATGATCATCTCAAGAGATGCAGTAAAAGCTTGGACAAAATCAAACATCCACTTATAAAAACTCTAAACAAAGTAGGTATAGAAAAGCATACCTCACTGGGTGTTATATGTAAGTGATGAATCACTAAATTCTCATGAAACCGGTACTACACTATATGTGTAGTTAACTAACTAGAATTTAAATAAAAATTTGAAAAGAAAGGGGCGCCTGGGTGGCTCAGTCGGTTGAGTGTCCGACTCTTGATTTTGGCTTGGGTCATGATCTCGGGGGGTTGTGGAATGGAGCACCTGGTCAGGCTCTGCACTCAGCATGGAGTCTGCTTGGGATTCTCTCTCTCTCCCTCTCCCATTACCCCTCCCCCTGCACTCACGAGCTCTCTCTCTCAAATATTTTTTGGGAAAAAAAAAAAGCACACCTCCAATAAAGGCCATACATATATCACAAACCCACAGCTAACATCATGCTCAATGGTAAAGAGCCGAAATTTTTCCTCTAAGACCAGGAACAGGACAAGGATGCCCACTCTCACCACTTTTATTAAACATAGTATTGAAAGTTCTAGCCACAGCAATTAGGCAAGAAATAAAAGGCATACAAATTGGAAAGAAAGAAGTAGAACTATCACTATTTGCAAATGACATAATACTACAAAATAGAAAACACTGAAGACCACACAAAAAAAGGATTAGTAGTGATGAATTCAGTGAAGTTGTAGGATATAAGATCAATATACAAAAATCTGTTGTTTCTATACATGAATAATGAACTGTCAGAGAAATCAAGAAAATAATCCCAATTAGTTACATCAATAAGAATAAAACACCTTGGAATAAATTTAACCAAGGAGGTGAAAGACCTGTGTACTGAAAACTCTAAGCCATTAATGAAAGAAATTCAAGAAGATACAGATAAGCAGAAAGATATGTCATGCTCATGGATTGGAAGAATTCATATTGTTAAATATCCATACTAACCAAGGCATCCTACAGATTTACTACCATTCCTATCAAAATACCAATAGCATTTTTCACAGAACTAGAACAAGTAATTTTACAATTTATGTGGAACTACAGAAGACCCTGGATACTCAAAGCAATGTTGAGAAAGACCAAAGCCAGAGGTATCATGCTCCCTGATTTTAAACTAGAACACAAAGCTATAGTAATCAAAACAGTATCGCACTAGCACAAAAACACAAAGATCAGTGGAACAGAATTGAGAGTCCAGATATAAACCTTCACGTATATGGTTCATTAATTTTTGACAAATGAAGCAAGAATACCCAAGGGAGAAGAGACAGTAAATGGTGTTGGGAAACCTAGATCCGCTACACACAGAAGAATGAAACTCGACCATTATTTTATACCATATAGAAAAATTAACTCAAAGTGCATTAAAGACTTGAGGACCTGAAACCATAAAACTCCTAGAAGAAAACATAGGTGGTAAAGTCCTTGACATCCACCTCAGTGATGTTTTCTTGGATCTGACTCCAAAGACAACAGGGAAAAAGCAAAAATAAGCAAATTGGACTACATCAAACTAAAAAGCTCTGCACAGTAAAGGAAACTATCAACAAAATGAAAAGGCAACCTACCCAATGGAGGAAGATACTTGCAAATCATATATGTGGTTGTGTTCATATCCAAAACATATAAAGAACTCTTAAACCCAATAACAGAAAAATCCAATTAAAAAATGGGCAGAGCAATAAAACAAACATCAAGTAGAGCATTTATTCATTATCTTAGTAGCAATGAAATTGCAGTTCAGATGTTAAAATTTGACTGAAGATGTTATAACCAAGTCATGTAAAAAAAATGGTGGAGGATCTAAATAGACATTTTTCCAAAGACATCCAGATGGCCAACAGGCACATGAAAAGATACTCAACATCACTGATCATGAGAGAAATGAAAAAAACCACAATGAGACACCACCTCACACCTGTCAGAATGGCTGTTATAAAAATGACAAGAAACAACAGGTGTTGGCGAGGATGTGGAGGAAAAGAAACCCTCATATATGGTAATGTAAATTGGTGCAGCCACTGTGGAAGAGGGTATAGAAGTTCCTCAAAAAACTAAAAATAGAAGTGCCCTATGATCCAGCAATTCCACTACTGGTTATCTATCTAAAGAAACTGAAAACACTAATTTGAAAAGATATATGCACCCCTGTGTGCACTGCAGCATTATTTACAGTAGCCAAGATACGGAAACAACCTTCTTGTCCATTGATGGATGAATGGATAAAGATGTGGCGTGCACGTGTGTGTGTGTGTGTGTGTGTGTGTGTGTTTGTATACAGTGGAATAGTATTCAGCCATAAAAAAGAAAGAAATCTTGCCTTTTGCAACAACATGGATGGACCTAATGGATGTTATGCTCAGTTAAATAAGCAGACACAAAGACATATACCACAAGATTCCACTTATATGTGGATTCTTAAAAAATCAAACCAAACCCAGACTCGTAGAGAACAGATTGCCCGTTGCCAGAGGCGGAAGTGGGTTGGAGTAGGGAACAAAATGGTAAAGAGATCAAGAAGTACAAACTTGTAGTTATAAGTCGTGTGGATTTAATATACAGCTTGGGGAATATAGTCAATAATAATATATTTGTATGGTGACATGATAATTAGACCTACTGTGGTAATCATTTTGCAATGTATATAAATGTGGAATCATCAAGGTGTACCAAAATAATATTTTATATCAGTTATACCTTGGTTTTTTTAAAAAGCTAAGCAAATGACTTAATTTTCATTGCATGTCTGTAGGACTCATAAAATTGAAGTGTCCATAGCAATGGTCTTAAAGAATAGTAGGGTTAGTTACTGCACAGGGGCAACCAGCTGTTCTTCATCTCTAATAAGGCTGGGAAAGAAGGAAATTAGCTTCAACTGTAATAGAAGAGATTTACAAGACTTGTAATGAGAAATTAATCATCAACCGAGAGTATTTTAAAAATAAGAGCAGATAGCCAGTGAGTAGAAGTAGAGGAATGATGTCTTCCATCGGTTTTGACATAGACTATAACATCTGCTTGAGGAACTTAAACTTGATAGCTTAATAGATCCAATAGTTTTCAGCGTTTGGGAAATCATAGACCCCTTTGAGAATCTGATGGGGCTCCTCTCCAGAAAAATGAACACACAAATAAAACTTTGCATGCAATTTCAGGGAACTTACAGACTCCCTGAAGTCTATGCATTAGACTCTAATTTAAGACCCACTGGATTAGAGGATTTCCGTTAAGTACTAAACTGTGACACACTCCATGGCTTAATTTTCCCAAACATAACGATGGAATCTGAAGATCAGATGTCAAACTTTGGATTTTCTTCCTCTAGATTTATCATACTTGGCATGCACAGTGTTGAAGTAAAAACAAAAAAATAGAATTCTTTTAAATTCAATTATTGGTCCTAGAGAAGCCAGATGTTTAATTTTAAAAGTCACTGGTTGGCTGTATATCATCTTCATAAACACACAGTAAGACTAGGCCTTCGCCCGGTCCCCACTCCCAGCTCCGCATTCATGGGGGACATGCAGACAGAGATGCCGGCATTATTCCACATTCACACACCTCCAACTGCACTGCTGTGAATGGCTGGCTGGGCTTGGAGAGACTGTCTACCTACAATTCTCTTTAGTCTTATGCCCCAGTTTCATTGACTACAAGTTGGAAAATGACTACCCAGAATACAAATCAGGCAATAATTTGCCCTCTCCTTAAAATAAAGCACGTTCACCCTCTTAGGAAGTAAGAGCATGTGTGCGTTAAACTTGGGATGAGTTCCTCCAGACTAGGTAAGTGAGTGCAACCCTGTGTGGTTTTCCCGTTCCCTCTGCAACTAGCCTCTAGTTTACCTGCAAGTCCTATAGCACTGCCTCTAGTCCCAAATTAGAAACGTCCTTGTCTCTTATACCCGGAATCAAGAACTCTGGAATCCCACACTTCCCGCTGGGCAAGAACATCATTGTCACATCTGCACCTTGTTGTTGGTCTTCACTGTCCTTTATGCTGCTAAGCCAAGCCTTAAATTCGTAGCTGGGACTGTCTTATTGAAATAAACACTGCTGATGAATGGGAGGCAAGTGGTCTCAGCCAGGGTCTCCTGGGACCATGCACACCATAGGTTGGTTCTTCTGACAATTATTCCTTCCCATTGTTGAAGGGGAGAGGCACTTAAGTATTCTCCCCTCTACCCACTGCAGCAATCTTCACATGATACCTGTGGACAGATACTCTGGGGTGAACTCTGCCACTGCTCCAAGACCTTACTGGGCCGATAAAGGTTGTTTCGGGAGCTGGAATTGAGGAGGACAGGCCATCCCGGCACCTAGCCCAGCTGTAGCTCAGCTTAGTGACTGATGGAGCCCCTCCCTTCCCTAGAAAGCCTGTTGGCAGTTCACACCCATAAAGCTTATTTAGGTCTCTCTGGGATTGAAGCTTATGGTAGAATCGCACATGCTGGTGAATATTTATTCCTTGTGTGTCTCCCTCCCCACAGAGAACGTGATCAATGGGCAGGATTACGAAGTGATGATGCAGATTGACTGTCAGGTGATGGACACCCGGATCCTCCACATCAAGAGCTCGTCAGTTCCCCCTTATCTCCGAGATCAGCAGAGGAATCAAACCAACACCTTCTTCGGCTCCCCGCCAGCAGCCCCGGAGGCAGCCCACGTTGTCCGCACCATCCCGGAGTCATTACAATAGACTCTGAGGCTGTGCCAGAAAACACGGTGGGACCCTGCCCCCGCTGCACTGGAGAGCTGGGGAGAGACCTGTTCCTGTCTGCCTTCTTGGTGGCAGGCCGAGAGCTGCCTCACAGTAGGGTTCCAGGGGTAGCAAGAAAAGTTGTTTTTCACGTCTGCCCTTCTACTGGGAAAGCACTGATACTCAGACACAAGGGCAGTGGCCTTTCTCCGACGGCAGATGTTGCCTGCATCCTCCTTGCTGCCTGGCGTCGAATTTTTTCTGTACCTTCCTAAATTGCTTTTCCTCCTGTATTTCTTTTGTTTAAATAGTCCTCTTTAAAATAAGATCTTCTTCCCTTCTCTGCCATTTCACTTACTGATAAAGAGATTTTTATTTATAGCTGTACAGCACACTGATGTTTCCAGTAATTAGAGTTTTTATTAATTTAATGCAAATCCATTCTGGATATTGTGCTTACTGGAAACAGATTTCAAAACCAGAACAGCCAAAAACGTCCCCCAAAAGAGTCAAGACAATTGAGGGCTTTAGGTAAAAGGGGGAAATCCCAATTGGGTAAAGTTGGTCTTTGCCTGGGAATTGTGGCTCCCACCTGAGCTGGTGTGTGCGTAACTGCGTGGGGCACTGGCACAGGGCAATGGGGTGGAGAGACTGTCAGGGAAGAGCAGGGTCCACGTGGGCCAAGGAAGGAGGAGCCAGCTCTGTTAACACACATTTAAAACACTGCAGGTTTTGATGTGACTGGAGTTTGATGAAAGCCACAGCAACCTTTTTTTCTGAGGCCACTGAGTGTTAGCGTATGTGCTTATATGTTCTCTGTACTTGTCTGGTGCAGGTCCGTAAGGACCCCGGGACAAATCCTTCAGCCTTACTGTGAATCCCCACCCACGACACACCTTCTACTAGTATGACGATAACTGAATTCGGCTAAGGAACACGCAGGGTGATGTTAAGCAAACTAGTTTTTTTTTCTCATGAGAATTGGCAGGTATTTATTCCTTAAGACTCTGCAGACAGGCCAGCTTGGATTCCTGTTCAGGGAGTGCATCCCACAATCCTGCAATAATTTTCAGTTTCTCCAGTGAATAGACAGTGAAGGAATTAACTTTTTTGTCCTCCCATGGTAAAAAAAAAAAAAAAGAAAGAAAGAAAGAAAAAGAAAAAATAGCCCTACTGTGTTCCCTCATATCTTACTGTACTTTGACTACTTTCTTCTCCTCTCTGGTGTTCTGCCTTCAGTTTCTAAAGTGAGTCTTCCTGTTCTCCTATGAAACCTTGCACTTTCTTGCTAGAACTCGTTCTGCAGACATGGCTTCTTACCCTAATCCACTTGCCTGGGTCGGCGTTCTTCCCTTCCAGTCCCTGCTCCGGCCTCCCATTGCTCTGAGTTGGAGGAGGAAAGACTGTGGGTGCAAGTCCTGTGGGGTGTCCCGCGGCCGGCCCCCTCCTGCCCGCAAGGGTCAACCTGGCTTCTAAATAATTCTGAAGAATCACTCAGGCTTCCATCTCTGGACAGCGGCGCCTCCGTGCCCAAGCTCCGATGGATGCGCTCCGAGGAGATCTGTGTAACTTCGTGCGGCCAACGGGGCGCTCTGCTGCCCGGGTCCCCAGGAATCTGGGGTTTGGTGGCATTAACAAGCCTGCAACAGCCCCCACTGCGGCTGCTGTCCAGGGCGACGTCCACACGGGAATCACCTTCCCCGGGGCCGCTCCGCCTCTAATGGGCGCCAGGCCCACGCGGACAAGACCTGCACGTGGCAGGACAGCCTTCTCTCGGGAGTGTCTCCTCCCATCGTGCACACCAGCCAAGCACGTAGCCATGGCCCTGGCCAGGGGGCAAGGGGACATGGTCATTCCCAAGCTGCTAGTCTGCCCGAGCTGTCACCGCTGTCACCGTGGCCACGGGCACGGCCTTACAGACGGTGCTTCCTGTCCCGTGTGCGGACTCTGACCCACAGGCCAACTGCCCGCTTCTCGCCCTGTGCTCAGCCTTCACCCTCCACCCCAGCTTCCCTGACCGGTCCAACCAACGGTGGCAGTCACGTCGCGTCAGCCCACCTGGATGCCTCTCCTGCAGGTGGGGATGCAGGTGCCGACGGCAAGGAGTCCAGACCGCACATGGCAGCCTGGGAGCCGCGCCTGCTCTCCCCCTGGTTTCACGTCTCAGGAAGGGAGGGAATGACAACTACAAGGCAGTAATCTCCTTTTGTAATTACTGTCAAAGCTCTTACTAATTCCTGGGCCCCACAGCAGTTCTGCCGTAACATCTGTGCTCGCCCGGGTTAAGCATGTTGGGAAAGAGAAAGTGGCTATGCCTGATGAATAAATTAAGCTGCTGTTTGGGTTTAGTTTTAGGTTGAAATCACCTTTTGGGGATTGCAGCCAGGAACGATGGGGGCTCTGCATCTAAATTTATTAAGCTTATATTAAGTGGGATTTTGCAAGCTTGTGGGATAATTAGATCAACGAGAGGACGCAAGCCCACCCATGGGGTAGGGAACTCTCTTCCCTTTGCCCCCCACCCCTCCTACCCCAGGAAGTGGCGGCGGGCCTGGCTGGGACCGATTCTCCCGTCTGCTTGCAAGCCCCACGTGTGGAGGCTTCGTGGCAGCGGATGGTTCCTCGTACTAATTACGGAGTCAGGCATCCGGGCTCCCCCGCCACAGGGTTAGCTGCCCCAGCAGAACATCAGCCTGGTAGTGTAAACGGCCTCTTTCCAAAGTTGGGATTTGTAAAGGCATCATCTTGAATCAAAAGTTTGCCATGCTTGTCATTTAGAAGCTTTCCATTACATTACTGGGTGAGGTTTATCTTTTCACAAGTAAAAAAACAAAAACGAAAAAACTAACTATAAAATCTCAGAGCATCTTCGAACTTTTTTCTAAATGACTACAGGCTCCAGCACCAAGCTGACACGTCTTTGCCTTTTCTTGTGAGCAAGAAGTAGACACGGAGGTATTTGAAAGCAGCAATGTTATGAGTCATTCTTGAGTGTTCTGAATAAACATTACTTAGAAACAGACAAGCAACTTGGGATTCAAACTGATTTTTCTATCCTTTTTAAAGAGACACTGTCCTGACAAATCTTCCAGGCCTGACTCTCCGCCCCCTCCCACGTCCACCCCGGGCATGAGCCCCCATCAGCAGTGACCCTGATGAGATGCCGTGGCTGCAGCCTTTGGGGTGATGGAAACCGTACCCCTCTCCAGCTCCTTGAAACGTTTGCACTACTTTCTGGCTCTTGCCCTCTCACTCAGCTCAGATTGTGAAACTTGGCAGAAAAATAGCACAGGGAAAAACCCGTATTTGACTTTCAAACACTGAAAAGTTTCCAAGTGACTTCTATTCTCAGCTACCTAGGAGAAGTCGCCCCTTTTTACCGACGAGCCAGTCAGACCCCACGTCCCCTGCAGCCTGACCTCATGGACGCTTTCCACCCAGCGAAGCCTGGTCCACTGCACCCGCATGGGCAGCAGAGTCCAAGGAACTGAAGTTCGAATGAAGCCTTTCATCCCATTGGCTGTTTCAGGCACATTAACCTCCCAAGATTGCTTACTGCTAGAACTGACAGATGCTTATCACCACCTCTGGACCCCACATTTTTACCAGAATGTTATTTTTGTGCCGCCTGAGTCATTCTAATGTGAGAAATTAGGATCTTTGCTGCTAATATGAGCACTAATTATATTCATACCTTAAAAACAAGAATAAAGCCTAAAGAAAGGAAATGTGAGAAATTTTCATTCCTACCCTTAGTCACATTTGGGAGGGGACAACTTCTGTGTCCCCCACCCCTAGGGGTTGTGGTCGATTTTTAATTTTCTAGGAAGACAATACTGGACTACCGAAACAGATGTTGCTCGATCCCGGATGGAACTATGCATGTAAAAGCCGTTTTCTCCTACCTGAAAATAGAAATCAAGAGTGTAGCCTGTTAACTTATATTTTTAGTGACTAAGCTTAAAACAGAGTTTATTTTAGATAAGTCTAGAGCTTTGAGCAGATTGTTCTAATAGTTGTGTTATCTGTCAGGTTATGAAAAGAATGACAAAAGCATCTTGATCAGGAAATTTGGTCCTGTGCATGAATCATGTCATGGCTAGCCACTGCCAAATAGTGGTCCCGGTCTCGACATAATGGTTTTCTGACTAAGCATTAGAGGTATAGCACATTAAGAGAATTATATTAGTTTGGGGAACTGAGAAGTAAATAAATTGTAGTTTATCATTTGCCAAGGTCAGCAGACAGCACCGTTGGTGACCACTAGTTAAACCAGGAGGCTTCATCTTGCGCCCCCCCCCGGGGGGGGGGTAACCCCAGAGAGAGACCACTAGGTTGACTTTCACAGTCATTGTCTATCAGACCATTCAACTCAACACTCAGCCCTAATTGCCAGGTCAGTCATCCGGTTAAGAGGGGGAAAGAGAACTGTAGATGAAAACTACCAGGTACTGCTGGCCTTAAGACACCAATTCCCTGTTTCTCATCCTGTTGGCAAGTGTGGTTGGGCCAAGACCCATCGTGCTTCATCCATGGAGCCATCCGAGCCAGAGGAGCGAGTGTTCACCAAGACTTTGACCAGGATTTTCCTTCTGAGGTTGCATCCACGCTAAATTAAGAGCAGGTTAAAGATGAGGAGCGACGAGGTACCAGTCCCTCCTGCAGTATGGCGTTGGTTTACGATGCATAAAGAAACCATGACAACAGACTCACATGGTTTTAAGCAAGTCTTCACAATGCAATACTTGTTCTTTGTCTAAGATTCAAATAAAGAATTTTTAAGCTTGCCTTATTTTGTTCTGTATATAGAGAGAAAAAACCCAAAATGAATCTTCAACGTGAAGAGATTAGTAATGAAAAGGGAAACCTAAAATGGCTTGTGGCCTGTTACTGTTTAGATGAAAACAATAGAACTCTTTTCCACTCTTCCCCGCCCCCCCAGCCTGGTTAACTAAAATTTCCTTTATTGTGTCCAAATATTTCAACTGTAATCTTATCAAGGAGAAAAATTTGTCTAAGAACTCCGACTTCATCCTTCTACATCAGGAACCTGGGTTACTCAGTCACACCACAGGCATCTTCCCAGCCTGGAATGACCAATGTCACCGTGCACGCAGCTTGTCCTGCAGGCTGACAGCAGAGTCCATGGAGGGGTGAGTAAGGCAGGCGCTCACTGAGCATGCAGCGTATGCCTCAGACACCACTCTGGGCTCACTAGTCCCGCTCTCCTACTTCAGTCCTCCCGGCAGCCTGGTCCTACCACGGTCATGTGACTAGGAAGCGGATTAACCAGTATCTGGACCCAGGCAATTTTGCTCCAGCAACTGGATTCTTGGCCACCAT